ATATTATTATAAAATGAATGTATATGTTTAATTTGTTGAATTTATATTTTTAATATCAAATTGAATATATAAAATTTTAAAATTTATTTATTTCATATATATATGGCTCCCTTTTCTAAAAATAATGACAGTAGATTTTCATTTTCAGTACTTGTAAATTAAGATCGATTTATTTGGCAATTATTTGCAAAAAATGAAGAATTTTTTGCAAAGACTTAATAACAAATAGGTGGCTTACAATTATTGATATTGTTTGAATCAAACTTAAATAATTATATAGATCCATCTTTAAGTGCTATGTTAAATTTTTCACCACAAGGAGAAAAACAACCTAAAATTACTGAACATTAAAAGGTTTATGGTTAGGTTATCTGTTAGCCAGTCTAACTATTATAGATTCCCAATATTTTGCGATTACCATCTAAACCTATAAATATCTGCTTATTTGGGGAACAAATTAAATACAAAGTTTCTTCCTTAAAATTTAATTGTTACTCTTAATTTGTTAAGAATTTCCAAAAAATAAGTTTAGTCTTATCATTCCAAACTAAAGTTTAAGAATCGAAAAACTAAATATTTTTACTCATAACCACAAAAATGCTGTTTAAGTCAGGAAACTCTTCCTCAACTATAGTTTTTTAATTTATTAATTAGTTCTCTTAGTCATAAATGAAAATAGTGTCATCTTAACAATATATTTAATAATTTCCATCAGATCCTACTTTTAGAAAGCTTTTTTAGTGAATTTTAGGTATTTCTTTAAAAGAATAAAGCAAAATACTAGAATCATAATCTTCAATGTGAATTGAATTATTATTCCCAAGCAATTCTATTCGGCCTTCTTGATCTTATTAAATCTTGAAAGCATTTACAGAAATATTATTTTTCAAAAATCGTAACTGAATTGATTTTATATTTGCAATGTTCCATAATTTAATGATTTTTTTTGTCATCCCCTAATGATATTAAGTATTAACAATTTTTGGAAAACTAAATTGCTGAATTGCAAATAAGTTGACTGTCAATTACAGTAACATTTTTCAAAGTAGCTAATTTCTCGATTTCAGTTGAACTTTTTAATTTATATATTTGAATTCTTTAATCACTATTTGATGCAATTGCTATTAATTTATCTCTTGTACAAAAAGCACTAACAATACTTCCACCCATATCAGTCTATAGTTGTTTAGAGAATTCGAAATTCTAAAAAACTTGAATATAATAGAAATACATAAAGATAAATTAATTCTCTTAAAATGGAAATATTGTAGGAAAACATTTAAAAAAAACCTCTACTCTTTTTATCTAATTAATTTAATTGTTAACTATTTGAAAAACTAAATATTCTTAGCAACATATTAATATAAAAAACTCGTCATTTAAAGAGAAACTGGATTGTTCTATTGGATAATTACATTCAATTTTTTTGATGATTTCCATTTGCAAAAGAGAAAATATAAATATTTATTCCTAATCAAATTATATTGCAATCATGTTTAAGCAATTTGATAAGCAAAATGTCTGAACTTTACATTCTAAAAATTCCTTACAATGTATTTCCTTCAATTTCATTTCAGAATCTACTTCAAATATTTAGAATGCGCTATGAGCTATGGCATACTTCCAATTATGTGAAAAAGTATATTTAATGATGGGTTTTTAAATGGAAAAACGAGAAGGCAATCTACTCAATTTCAATTTTTCAACTTCTTTCAAATTACATAAAATGCTTTCTTCTGAAAAATTTTTAACTATTTGTTAAGAATCAGAAGTAAAATAAAAGATTGCTTCTTCTCCTTCATCTATTATAAATTTTTCAATAATAAATTTACTCATAAATTTACATACCACAATACCTTTCTAACTTGTAAATGCATAATAGGCACCAGTATTATCAAATTTACCATGGGAAACTTGTATATCTTCTTCTTCATATAATAATTTTAATTCTTCTAAATCCCAAAATTTTATTTCACAAGATGACTCGGAAGATAATAATTAACCATCTGGTGAGACCATTAAATTCTATAATGAGTAATTATGTCCCTCCATTTCAAGATTCTATTGTTGCATTAATGCTTTAAAGTTCCAAATTTTTAATTTGCTGCTATAACAACTTACTACCATGCCTTTAGTTGATATCAAAACCTTATCTAAAGAATCAGTGTTTACCTTTTACTTAAAGAGAACCTTATAAGTTTTCATATCCCAAACTTTAATATGAGAATCTGCATAAGCACACACAAGATATTAATCATCTTCTGACAATTAAAAATGACATAAATATTCATCTTCATCTTCAATTATGTTTATTATCGCATTCTTTTTTAAATCAAAAATTATAAATTATAACTTCTTCTACTTATATTCTGCTATAAATATCAATAAATCTAATGTATTTGTTTGTAAGATAGCTTTTACATGAAATTTTATATTTAATTATTAATCAGTGTCTTAGCATAAATTAGTAATTGCATTTATTTTTTTATAATCAAGATTTTAACTTTATTATAAAAATATTTATATGATATAGGTATCTCTTAAAAAATAACAGAAATGTTATTTTGCATAATCTAAAATATGAATTCCAGAAATATTACAGATAGAATGTGAAGTTAAAAACTAAATATATCCTTTTTAATTAACATATATTAGATGCTATCCATCTAAATGTTATATAAATTGTTTATCTTTTTTTGTAAAACCTACTAATTGAGGTTATTTAAAATTATCAAGATCAAAGCGTTCAATTATGAAATAGACCCCTATTATAAGATATTAATTATTATTCATAAATAACATTGTATGAGGAATATCAGAACATTGAGTGGATTAAAGATAATGAGGATTTTTTCGATCCTTAATTGTAAATAAATCAATTTAGATCTATTCTTTATTTTAATGTGCTATTGCTAAAATATCATCTACTTCGGATAATTATAAACGGCAAATTTTACTAGTATCAATATTAATTTGACTTATAATTATTCTTGTAGAAATATCAATTATGATGATTTATTTGTTTTCAATTGCAAAACATAAAATAGAAGAATCTGAAGAAAAATAAGCCTCTATTATTGGATATTTTTATATATAATAGTAGCTTTATTATTCTACTTTCTAAATTTCTATAAATTCATTTTAAACTGTCAAAATTAATTAAAAACTTTAATTTTCAAACTATGGATATTGGCAAAACTCATGATCTTTAGTTAATATTTCTTTAAGTAAACATTTATAATTATAGTTATTCTTTTAAAGTTGGATATTATTATTATTTGAACTAAAGAATAGAAGTATATTAAGAGCTTCAAGAGTATGCTCTATTACAAAAATATTGTCTTATAATTTCCAAATTTCAACCATTCCTCTATGATATGTAGCAAATTTATTGCCATCATCGTTAAAAATTGCAAAACTTAACTCTTTCGAAATTACTTAAATTGATTCATCATTCTAAGTTTTCCTAATTATAAATTTTTAAGTCTTTAAATATAAAATCATATGACTTAGCATTTTTGATACAATCAAAAATACAATTTCGTATATATTTTATATTTCCCTAACAATAATTGGCTCTTGAATGTTTGACATATCCCACAAAACTATCTCATATTTAGAATGTGAGACTAATACTTATCTATCAGAAGAAAATAGTAAGCCAGATATTTAAATCTTACTAGTAAATTTCTTTATTAATTTCATTTATTTCACATCCCATATTAATAGAATAAATTCTTAACTAGATGAAATTAAATATTAACAATCATGAGAAAATTCTAATTCTTACATTTCATATTCATCTGATTCTAAAACCCCTAAATACTTTATTTAATTAAGTTCTTTAATATTCCAAATATGAATAGTAAATCTACTTGTACAAGCAAATAATTCGAAATTGTTTGAAATTACAGCAATCAAATTTTTTGTATCAACTAACTTATGTGGTATTCTATGTTTTTACTAAAATTAATTTATATTTATAGTTTAATATAAAGATAAATACTAACTACCATAAAAAGTGATATAATTGTTGTCAGGAGAAATCAATGCTGTGTAATTTTCGCTTAAGCTAAAAAAAGAACAAATTTAATTAATTTTTTTTTAATTGTTTGTTTCCATAATAGTGTTGTAATATTTTGTGGTTATGACAAGATAATTTCCATTTTTAGAAAAAGCAATACTAATAATATAATCTTGGTTAAATTCAATTTCTTGAACTTTTATGATATTTTGATATTCTTGAATATCCCATAATATAATTTTTGTATCTGTTACAATGGCTAGAAGTTTTGCATTTAAAGAAATTGCCATTTTAAGGTTTTGCTGATATCGTAAATCAGATATTTTCTCAGTAGTTGTTATTGTATTATTTGTTTTTAAATTAAAATATTCATTTAACAAAATAATTATATTATCCATGTTAATTAACAATTAACTTCCATCCGAACTAAGAGTAACTTTTGTACGTAATAAATTTCTTAGAATAATACAATCATTATTGTTTATTTTATTATTTTAATCTTTCAAATTCCAAAGTTATATTGAACTCTTGGTTGTGCAACATATAATTGATAAATTTTTTGCTATCTAAATTGACTTAATCTTATCCTTAAATTATACATTAAATCTTCTTTCTTTTGGTTTTTAATCTAATTTAAAACTAAATTATCTTAGTATTATTTAATCATAATTAAATGAACTCAAAGTATAAAATTCATCACCATTTTCACTCAAAACTATTTCAAAAAATATTTCACCTTTATAATCAAAAGTGACAAGTTCTTTAGTGATTATATTATTCCATATTGCATCAGTAATGATTGCATTATTAAAATTACATGAATCAATAGAAACTTTATTAAAGCAGGTATTAGATAACACACTCTCACAAAAGCTAAGTCCATTTATGCATGTTTCTGACAGACTAACTGAATCAAAATTTTAATTTCCTAAATTCTTTCCTAAAAAACTTAAAAGAAATATGGAATTTGAGGCTAAGCGAATAAACGTTGAATCTTTTTTATTTGATAGCTAAACGAATGAAACCAATTATTTTGTAATTTCTTTATTATTTTATAGTTTTCGTTTGAGTAAAAATAAAGCACCTTAATAATGTTCATGTGATATATTAAATGAATTATTGTTCATCAAACTATTTTCAAGTTATTTTTTATCAATTTATTATTCATCCCTCTTATTGTATATATTTTCTAATAGATTTAGTATGTATTTTGCAACAAAAAATTCTTAAATTGATTTATGAGTAAATGAATGCTAACTACCTTTAGAGCTTAAAAGACTACATTTTCGTATTAACAATTTGTAATTAAAATCAGAATCTAATTCACTAAAATATTAATCTTCCCATTATAACTATTTTTTTTAATTTGCTTAATTTATTGAAGAAAGCGTTAATCTTCCTTTTGGCTGATAATTCACTTAAAACTATTGATGGATTATCATATCTAAAGCTAAAGATTAAGAAAATTCTAATAAATCAATTGAAATCATCTCTTAATTAGATATTTTTCCTAGTTCCATCCATTTCTATATTTATTGCTAGTGATAATAATTAACAAACATTTCATAAAAATCATAGTTAGTGAATTAATTAATTTTTAATGCTTAATAAATTACTTCAGCATCAAATTTTAAATGATATTTTTCATTTGATTGTATTATGAATGAATCCTAAAACTCTACTTTTGAAGATATTTAGTATTTGTCAAAAAAACATTGTTCTTCTAATTCAAACATGATTTCAGATAATTGTTTTTCAATGGCTTCATTAACTGTGTCTTCTAATTTAATTGCGTTTTTTTATTTATAATTTTATAACGTTTGCTGTTATTAAAGTATTTAATATTTCAATTTTTTATAATTATTTTACACTAACTCTCTTACTGTTGAAGATTGTTAATAGTTTTATGAGATTTTTGGTAAAATTTATACAATTATCTCTATCATAAATGGAGTTCTCAAAAAATCGTTAATTTTTAAGTTTTGAATAGTTTAGATGAATTTTAATTCGCTCCATAAAGAAAGAAGTCCTTTTTATAAATACAAAAATTATTACTCTTAAACAAATTGACATTGTGGTATTTATTATAATTTCTTTACTATTTTTTTTGCATCTTGATCCTCTACTAGGATTTCCTAGTTTTATGAAGCTGTTATTATTTCTTCTATTAAACTATCTAGTTATAAGCAAATGTTTCTAAATTCAGAAAATACAAATCCACTGCCTTTTAATTATTTAATCATATCATAAAATTATGATAACTCTCTTCTTATACTCAGTTTAATAAATAATTTTATATAAAGACTACTTTATTCCAAATTAAATGGAACCAATTAAACTTCTTTAAATGAATCAATACTCTTTCCATAAAACCAAGATTAATAAGTTTTAGAAGTTAATATTTCTTCTCTACATGTAATAATAACTTTGAGTTTCTATCCAGATTCTTTAAGATTTAGATCTTAACTCCAACGATTTGTTGTAATTAAATTTGTTTAAATAAATACATTTTTCATCTCATCATAACTATCCAATATCAAAACAATTTTTAAATTTTCATTTTAGATTTCCTCTTTAAATTCTCTTATTTATAATTTATCGAAATTGTAAGTTTCTGATTCTAATGCCTAATCAATTAAATTATGTAATGGATCATTTAAAGAAGGTAAAGAAATATAGATTGGATACCAATTGGGCTATAAAGTATCAAATTTCCATAAAAATTCTTCAATATTTCTTGCTGCTCTACTTTTACCAGAACCGGCTTTTCCTTTTAATAATAAGACATCTTTATATCTTTCATTTTTGTCCCATAAAAATTCATTTATTTCACCATTATAATCATTTTAATCATCTTTTAACAGAAATGAGATTTAAGGTGTTTTTTAATCATTTTCTACAGTTACTTTTTATCCAGTTTTTGGATCAAATTCTTATGTTCTCTATTCTATATATATTTAATTCAATTCATTTTCTTCCTTTTATTTTAATACTTTTTCTTTTCTTATTTATAATAATTCATAAATATTCTTACCTCTTAATCTTCTAACATCATTTCCAATTTATGATACATTTTTTATTAATTGATCAAGTTTACATTTTATTGCTTATAAATTTTTGCTAATATCTTTTAAAAATATCATTGAAATCTTTAAATTTTCAGACATATCATCTAAATTTTCTAAAAATATTTCAAATTCATCATAAGCTTACTAAAACTAAGTTTATAATTCCTCAGAATTATTATTTTTAAAAATTTGATTCTCTAATTCCTCAATTTACTTTAATTTATTTGTCATATCTTTTTTTAATTAATTTGAAAATAAAGAAAGATCTTTTGAAAATATTTATTTTTGCATTTCAATCATCTCTTCATTTTATAAAACTCTCCTTACACTAGGATTTTTTTCAACAATCCAAATTTATTTTAAAAGATTAGAACATATTTCTTATATAGTTCCTTCCTAAACATTATATTAAGCTCTAATCAAATTAAATGCAAGTAATTCTCTCACTTTATAAGAATTATTTTCAAAGGAAGTCAATATCTTTAAATTTTATTTTTCAATGGATTCCAAATTCTAATGTTAAAACATAAAATTCAAATTCTCATCAAGTGTGATTTCTTCAAGTTAATTGTTCATCATATTTGATTAATTTATATTTGAATCAAATAATATTAAATATGATTAACATAAATCGCATTATTAAGATTAATTAAGTGGATTTTCTTCTTTATAATCAAAGATATTTTAAATAATATTTTCCAATTATTAATAGGTTATTTAAATTTCCTCTTAAAGGTTTTTTAGAATTGGCTGGATATTTGACATATCTTATTTATTTTTGTTTAAGGTTTATTCTTTATTTTAATCATTTTACATTATTAATTGAATATTTAAATTAGATTTTAATACAAATCTTATTTTTTTCGTCATTTACAATAAATTGCTTAAAGATTTAATTAACTCAGATTCTTAAGAAAAATAATTTTCTTAGTCAAGCTTATTAATTGATTGTTTCTTACCTTCTATTGCTAATTAAGAATTCTGGCTAATTTAATCTGGATCTTCATTTGACAAATTTTCATAATTTTTATCATAAATGGCCAACACTTCTTTTATAATTTAAGTTTTATTGTTGGGTATAAATAAAATTATTTTTAATTTATTAAATACTTCTTGAAAAGAAGTTATTAAATTATTTTTAAATTGTTAATCGAAATCGCATTTAGAGATCCATTCAATATCTTAAAGTATAGATTAAATAATATTAGCATATTCTTAAGTTTCTCCTTAATTAGTCTCAGTAGAATTATATTTACTTTTAACTAATTCTAATTTTGCTTTTTGACTTTTTATTATTTTAAGAATTTTATCTTTCAAATTTTATGTATTTTTACTATTCTAGTTATTTTCTTATATTTAACTCAATTATTTAGTTAATTTTTCTTAAATTATTTTTAATTTAATATTATTGATTTATAAAAGTTTGTAAATTGTAAAAATAATTAGAATAAGACTTCTACACTCCTTTAGTTACTTTTGGTAATTTTTTGACTCTAATTCCCATTTTTCAATTGAGAAATTCAACTAAATGAATTCTTTTGATTATACTATCATTTATTTGAAAAAAGAAAATTAATAAATTTCTTACAATTTTCCTGTAAGAATTTTTAATGATACCGCTTTTTCAATTTCGAATTGAAATGGTTTCTGGGATAATATTGATGTAAAATTTGATTATAATTCTTTTATTAAGTTTATAAAGACATTGACTTCATTAATAATCTCAGTAACAGTAGATTTAAAGTTATCTTAATCATAAATATTTCCTTTATTTAATTCACTTTAATCCTTTGGCTTTAAACCATCATAATTTATATATATAAATTCAAATAAGAGAAACAAAATATCAAATATTGAATTGAGTTTCAATTATTCAAAAGATTATTTTACTTTATCAGAGAAATCACCACAAGATTAATATTACTTTTATGATTTTGATAAACAAGCATCTCTATTTTTTTGTAAAATTTCCATAATTATGCTAATTTTTACTTTTTCTTGATTTAATTTGATTTCAATTTCATTACAAACATATATGAATTATAAAGTTTTTTATTTTAATTATTTCAAATCAGATTTTAGATCTTATTTTTAGATTTTAAGTTATATTTATTACTCATTTTTAGTATTAAATAATGATATTCTTTTTTATGTTACTCCATCAATTAATTTTAAAATTTCATCTCTTAATTTTTATAAAATTGTATTTAACTTAAAAATTTCATCACAATTTGTTTAACTTCTCAATAACTATAAATTTAAATCATGATTGCTAATATTAGAATTTTGCTTATTTTTAATTTCAAAATTAATATATTTAGACCATAATTTTAGTTCATGAACTTCTTCAGAGATGAGATACTCTTAAAAAATCTTTAATTCCTTAAATATTTAATGGTCTGATTTTTCTACATTAAAAATTCTAACTCTTGCTTAAGTTTTATCATAAGGAATAGAAATAATATGTTAAGAATTTAATAGCTATTTAAAAGTTTCATAAACTGGTTAATTTGATTTAATTATATTTGAAATATTTTTCTAGTGAATTATAGGTCTGTATGTAATTAAGTCAGATATTACATTTATCCAACAAAAATGAATCATCCAATCTTTTGATGGTTCTATATATTTTTTATAACCTTCTTCAATTTATTTAATCTATTTTTAAACGGAACATCCTAATAATAACTAATTTAATATAGCCCATTTTAAGCTTTCAAAAAAGTAATATACTTCATATTTTTATATTGGATTCTTTATATAACATTCAAAAAAGTTCATCAATATAAATTTAGCACTTTCAATTAAAGATTCTATTAATTCATCACTAGGCTTAAGTTATGCAATTGATGATACTATTCCACTTAATACAGCTAATCCTAATTATTTGGATTTCTTAGAATTAGTACGACAATGAGATAGCCACGTTTTTATCAATTATAGTTCAAATTCAACACCAGTTATCCATATGTTGATGGATTCTATTTACATCAAACTTTCAATATTAGCAATTTATTCTAAAAAAACTTATTTTAGATTCTCTTGCATAAATCTATCTTTATTTTTTAATTGATAAGAAAAAATAACTCTTATTAAACAATTACAAATTTGAAGTAATTAATAAAATAAATATCCTGAACTTTGTAAATAAATATCAAGACATTTCATTAATTTTTCTAAAGTTTTTTCAATTAAAGAATAGTGTTTTAAGGTTATTTAATCATTTTAACATAAGGACTAAATATAAATAGCATTATCTTAAAACCATAAAAATGCTATCAAAACTTCATTTTTTTTTATTTTATCAAATATTATAGATGCTTTCTCTGCAATTATATTTGAGTACTTTTTAATATTTGAAGAAAAATCTAGGGGAATATAACAGGGTAGATTAGAAGATTAAATATCTTATTCTACCGACCATCCACATCCGCCACCTCTTAAAGTTTTTTTCTCTAAATTTATTACAAATTTTTGTGAGGGATTGCCTTTATTTATCAGAATTGAATCTAATCCTTATAACAATTATAAAATCTTTGTTTTATTTTTGCAGAATTTTCCTTTTCTTTCTTTTATGTTCATTATAATATAATATAGTTAATAATATCATTTGTTAAATTAGTATCCTTTTATATTTACAAATTTTTGTAACTTTCTGAAAAAATTTTATTATTTCGAGATTAATGAATTATTTTTATTATTCACATAAACTCTTTAAAAATTACTCTCTACTCTTTTTTTTTATATTATCCATCATCGAACCTTTAATAAATAAATTAAAAATGTTCTTTAAAATTAAAAAATTCAAAATTTATATTTTATGCTCATTTTAATCATTTTAATATATCATTTGTAATACATTAAAAAGGTACCATCCAAAAAGCTATAATCTTACCAATATATATTAAAATATATTAGTTATTATTAATTACAAAAAAGTAGTTATGAGATAAGTTTTTCTTTAGATTATAAAAAATCCATAAATTAGATCCTCATGTTGCTTTAATCTATAGTTAGAGAGGTAATTAAGTATTTATTTCTGACGCATAATTGCATCAAAGTTTAATAAAGAAAATTAAACAAGATTAATTATAACAAGGCCCTTGGATTGGATCTTAAAAATGTTAAAAATTATAATAATAGAGGTAATAGAAATGTTTATTAAATAGGAATATTTTTTTTTATGAGGAAATTCTAATTCGATCAAGCTTGGAAAAAAATTTAATAAAGCGATTTAGTTGGACTCTAATGATGCTAAGACTTTTAACTTTATCTACATATTTTTATCAATCAAAATATACTACTTATAAATTAATGAATTAAAAAAGTAAAAGAGTTGAATTATTTATATTTAAATTATAAATTACTCGATCCAATTTATAAAAGATGCAGAATTATAAAAAAAGAATTGATGAGAAATTGTAACCTATATATTGGGAATATTTCTTTTTCTTTAGATTATAAGATAATAGTACTATTTTTTTAGATTTTGTGTATTAAATATTCTTAATTTTGATTTTGAGTAAATATAGAGACAAGTAATTTATCAATTTTTTGTATATTCAATCGATTTAATGGATGCATTATGAGCTTAAGTTTTTAAGAATATGAATTTGATGTTAAATTCCAAATTTCAAATTTCAATGTATTAATTTTCATCAAAACAAAATGTTGAGCTGCATTCTCATATCTTTCTTCACTATATAACCGATTTGAATTTAATTTTTTTTTTATTTTAAAAAATCCTACTCGCTTAAGGTTCTCTATTATAAATCCAAAGATTGATCTTTACAAAGTGAAATTAAATATTCATACTATGTTCTTTAACAAATAGATTCTGGGTCCTAAAAAAATTATCTAATTAGGAAAACTGATGTGTAATTGTTTCTGTTTATGGTAGGGAGAGTATCAATAAACTAAGATTAATCCTTTACAGTTTTAGTTTCTGTTAATCTGATATAAAAAAATTTAAATAAACTTATTATTCGTATAACTTCATTTTTGTATAAGATTCTGAAAGAAGTCAGAATAACAGGCATCCATAAATTATATTATACAACTTCTCAATAAAAATTAATTTCATGTCAATATTAATCAAAGGAGCTTATTAATCAACAATAAATTTAATTATTTTCTTATAAAAAAGGAAATAAAGATAACAAAACCTATGATCAAACTATTCCTTTTTTATGCTCATAACCTATTTTTGGATCTTCCAAATAGATATGATGTTCCTATAGAAGAATTATAACCAAAAATCCTTGAAAAAGCTTCAGTTATTACTACCCATTATATTTTGATATTTCTATTAATTATCTGATAGGGGTCAAAGCATATTTTATTAGAGTTAAACTACAGTTAAAAATAGTTATTTTCATTTGGTCATGTTGATATTACTAATTATCTTCAGACTCAAGATAAGTAACTGCTGATAATCTTAAAATTAGTTTGAATATGAAAATACTTACATCTAATTTAATAGTATTTTTTTCAACTCTTAAATTATTAATGAAATGTATCTAGTTAAATTTTTAATAATTATACCAAAGGTGTTTAGTTATTTCCAAATGGCCAGCACAAAGTGAAGCTTTGTTGAGATTATTAGAGAGAGATGAGTCTTAAAAATTTTGTTGTTGATAGAGATACTGCTGCTTTAAAATTTATTAAATTTTCAATAAGGTAATTTTTATAAATAATTTAAGGACCATTTTCATAATATTCCAATCTTGTGATCCACTTAGGTTCGAATCTTGATAATGATGTTAATATTGATCCTCAAAACCAGCATGATAATTTCCTTATTGATTCAGGTCTAATTGATTTTAAATCTTTTGTTAATCTTTCAGGGAATCTTGATAATAATGTATTACCTCCTGATAATAAAATATTACTATAATTAAGATAAAATAAATAATTCTAAGAGATGTTGTATCAAATCTATATAGCATTTCTTAGTTGAACTCTTTATAAACTCATGAATTCCAAGGACATCAATACCCAAGTATTAGAAATTAAAAAGTTTAGGGTTAAACATTAATTCAGGGC